AGGGTGAAGGTCATCAATGTCACTGTGTTACTCTGTTACATTTTTCCGGACCCCAGCAGTGGTGACATGGAGCTGTCCCCTCCTATGGTGACAGTGCCTTCCGGATCCCTCCGGCAGGTCTTGCTTCTGGCAGACTATATTCCCGCCGCGTTGCTCAGTCTGTCTGTGCACTTTTGTTCAACAGAGGTTTTCTTGCAAGCACACCATATCCCGTGAACAACTGTCCCCCTCTAATAGTAAAAGCCCATTAGTGTCTGTGCTTCTGATAAGCAACTCACTGTGGGGCTTATCTCCTGCAGTCCTTTCTCCCTGGTGCTGGGATCCTGGAGGTCTCCCCCCCCCCCCCCCGACTGAAACATAACTGTGGAGCATATAACCACAGCTGTGCCACAGCTGTGAGGAAAACAGGACTTCGATGCTAAGGAAAGCTGGGCTCTAACTAAATAGAAAGAGACGAGCTTGTTAGATGTAGGCTTTATTAAATAGAGCAAGGGTTTTCTAACCTCAGGAACTCAAGATAAGCTAATCACCTCAGTTAAGCAGAACTTGGACACAGTTTCCTAGGCTTGGAAAGGTGCTAGGGGGTGACACTGAACTCCTATATCCAGGGAATGCTCCGTTGGCTCATAGCATTTGGGTCTTCATGTTCACGTGCTCATTGTCAAATCAAAGGGCACAGTCACACTATTGAAAGCAGTGACCTCTGCCTGGCATCAAACTGTAAGAGTGATTTATCATTTGACTACTTGAATTCTTATTTTTTATGTATATAAGCGGGTGTATATGTTCACCATGTGCATATCTGATGCCCTCGGGGGGGGGTCAGAAGAGGGCGCCAAATTCCCTGGAACTAGAGTTGTAGATAGTTATGAGCCGTCATGTGGGTGCTGGGAACCCAACCAGGATCTTATGCAAGAGCCACAGGTGCTCTTAGCTGATGAGACATCTCTCCAGCACTCTCCAGATTTTCTTATTATTTTTTTCAAACAAAAGAAGATATACAGTTTTGTAAAGAACACAGGGAATTTACATTGTTGTGGCTTATAGTCATCCTTTAGCAAAAGACAGGGAATCAGCTGACTTAGATTTTTTTATAAGACAGTTGTGTCAGCAAGGGCTCCAGGTGGGGCCACCAGGATGATTTCACACACACACACACACACACACACACACACACACACACACACACGGTGGAGGGGGGATATTATACCTAAACCTAAACAAAGACACAACCACACACGTGTATGGATACGTACCTACAGGCACATACCCCTATGTGTTGATTATACCTATGCATATATACACACACATATATATAGTTATAAAGATGCACACAATTTTTATCAAGATATTTACTGCAGAATTGGCTTCATAGGCTATGGGCTAGATGAGTCTATCTCAAGTGCGCAGGGCAGGCCTCAGGGAGGACAGGATGAAACTGGTGGGCACAGCCTGGTCCCGGAGGCCACGGTTGGACCCTCTTCTACTCAGAGGCCTTGAAGTGATTGAATCCAGCCCACCCAGACTGCCTAGGGACAGCCCACCGAAAGCCACCTCCCTATCTGTGATGCGTCCTCGGAGAAGCAGCACCTCTCAGTGTCTGCTGGGCTCATGAAGACTGTGGCCAAGTTCATACATGAAACTGCCATCAGAGGTGTTCATGGGGACACATGTTTGACCCCCCCAAAAGAAGACTAATAATGGAAGCGGGGTTCAGAGAACTCAACTATAAGTATGGATCACTTCTATAGCTTTTGGGGTCGGGGGTGGAGAGGGGTTGAGTCAGGGTTTCTCTGTGTAGCCCTGTCTGCCCTGGAACTCACGCTGTAAATCAGGCTGGTCTTGAACTCACAGAGATCCACCTGTCTCTACCTCCCCAGTGCCAGGAGTGCAAGTGTGTGTCGTGCTACTGCTCCTGGTTAGAATACTTTTTCTTTGAGACAGGGTTCCTCTGTGTAGCCCTGGCTGTCCCGGAACTCACTGTGTAGATCAGGCTAGCCTCGAGGTGTGCACCACCACCGCCCAGCCCCTCATAATTCTTTTTCAAAAAATAAAGTCCTGTCAGGGGAGTTCCTGCAGAGTTCTGCAGCTGGCTTGATTCCAGAATATTAGCACCTAGCTTTGAGACTCGCCTTTTGCAACTGGTACCTTTCGAGTCCGGTACCTTCCATTTGGAGTATGTGAATCTTATCTGAGAGTTTCCTAGGGGTTGAAAACCCATTCAAAGATTTGGTTTCGTGTTGTGCTGACCCAACCATAATGTTATAACTGTAATTTTCCTACTGTTATAAATTATAATGTAAAATATCTGTGTTTCCCAATGGTCTTAGGTGACCCCTGTGAAAGGGTTGTTCGACCCCCCAAAGGTGTCATGACCCTCCTGTTGAGAACCACTGTTCTAGATAGTTCCTCAGTTAATATTGAACAGATTCGAGTTGTTAAGTGACTGACACAGATGTGCGGAAGGAAGGAATAGCCTTGTAATAGAAGCAAATTGGCAATGAGTTAATGTCACCACCAGCACGTTCGCACAGCGTTTTCTTCTCCTCTCCTTCCAGACACGGCACGGCCGCTTTTGTTTGTGTGTGTGTCCTCTTGGTTTTTTTTTTTTTTCTTTATGGTCCTTTTCTCTCTGTACCGGTGAATTCGATGTCTTTGTGTCAAGAGAGGCCTATTTATTCTGACAAACTGATCAACCTCCAGGGCGTTCCTGCTCCATGAAACTGATTTTATATCTCATTCACTGACTAATAAGATGTGACGCGCTCTTCCTGTCACGCCAAGAGATCAGACTAGCTTCCCCCTCCAAAGCGGAGGCTGGAGTCACAGCCAGCTTTCTGTGACTGAGCTGACTGAGCCACCACATTGCAGGGCCCTTCAGCTGGGATGGGGTGGGTGGGGCCAGCAGGAAGATCCATGCACTCACTCTAAAAGGAAACATCAGAGGCAACACCAACCCACTGCATCCAGGGTGCTAAATATAATAGCAGGGAGTGAAGCCTGGCGGTGCTGGAGGTCTGTGGGGACAGAGGCACAGCCTTTCCCACCAAGCTAAGCTTGTGAGTGAAGCTGACATCCCACCGCTCTGGAGGTCAGGCTTCCGTGAGAAGGGCAGAGTGAGCATCCTGGACCCCAAATGTAGCATGTTCAGATCTGAACCTCTGAGCACGGTTGTGCCACAAGAAGAAAGTTCCACAGCTGACCCCGTGTGATGGGACACAGTCAAACCACAGACATGGGACTGGAGAGATGGCTCAGTGCTTAAGAGCACTGACTGCTCTTCCGGAGGACCCGGGTTCAATTCCCAGCACCCACATGGCAGCTCCCAGCTGCCTGTAACTCTAGTAACACAGGATCTGACACCCTCTCCTGGCTTCCACAGGCACCAGGTGCATGCATATTATACAGATACACAGACAAGTAAAATACCCCAAATCATAAAATGTTAAAAATTAAAAAGAAACAGGCATATAAAAATGTTGTATATAATTTCCTTCTGGCTGTGTGGGTATAAGGCATATATTAAATAAATTTTGGGCACTGGAGAGATGGATCAGCAGGTAAGAGCACTGGCTGTTCTTCCAGAGGACCCAGGTTCAATTTCCAGCAACCACATGGCAGCTCACAACTGCCACAGATCTGACACACTCATACAGACATATATGCACGCAAAACACCAATGTACATAAAATACAAATAAATAATTTCTAAAAATAAATAAGTGAAAATAAATTTTATGTACTGTGTTCAATCCCCCCAAATATTTCACATTATATATACATATATATATATTATACATACATTTATATGTATGTGTGCATATATGTGATGTATGATTATATATCAGTATGTGTGTACTTGTATACATATATGTATACACATTAACAAGCATGGTTATGCATGTGTGTATATATGAAAACATTCTGAAATCTGAAATGGCAAATTTGAATTAAATCTGGTCTCGCACATCTCGTATTGGAAGGATGTTCGATGTGCAGTTGAGGATTCTGCCTGCATGGGGAAGGTCATATGTAGGCAGAGCGTGCTTGGTTGGTGTCTCTCATGAGTCCAAGAGGAACAGCTGATTTTTTTAAAACAAAGTTGGAGTTATCGGTACCGATTGATTTGCTTTAGCTTTTCCATTCAGATTCACCCTACCTTAATCAAAGCCACAACAAATGCCAGGCTGATTCCCTGGCACATGAGCTTGAGAGCTCCTAAGCCTCTGGGAGACTTCTGAGAGTTGCAGGCATTTGGTGGCTCTACTCTGGTATCTCAGGTGTCGGTTGGATGATGACTGGAGTTCAGTAAGTCGTAGTGTGCAGCCTTGGCCATTGCGAGCGATGGGGAAAACAAGATATGCCTTCTGGAGAGGCCCGGTTACTCCGGGCAGTAACAGGACTGACGCAGAGCCTTTGCACTGGGTCAGCTGTTACTTCCTGTCCCAGCTTCCTCTTTGGAAAGTGAGGCGGGGGGGGGGGGGCAGCAGAGTCCTTGGGTATCTTTGTCCCATGGTCACTGAGTGCTGGCAGCAGCACCATCACCCAGTGGAAGGATCTGCTGCAAGGGCTGGGGTGTGGCTCTGCGGTACCTTGCTTGCTCTGCTAACTAAGACCCTGGTGTTCATCCCTAGCTTCACCAACAACACGAGACCTGCGTTCGTTTCCCACACTTGTTTCCTAAGACTGCTGAAGCAAACTGCAGTCGTCTGGAAGCTGTAAACCATAGAACCCCTCCTCACAAGTGCTCCCCTTCATTGCCGTCTCCTCGGGTGGGCCGGGGACACCAGGAAGAAATGAAACGGGGCACATCATCCCCCCCCCCCGCTGCCCTGTTGAGGTGCACGCAGCACTGTCTGACAGGGGGCAGCCCCTGCACAATACAAGTTGGTTCCACTTGGCAAACAGTACTTTGCCATAGAGGCCGTGACGCAGGCCATAGAGATGAGAGTGGATGTGGAGTGCGCCCCAACCTTCCTGACGCGTGATGTTCTCTTGCAGTTTGTCTTCTGCCGGGACTGTAAGGAAGCTTACCACGAAGGTGAATGTGACTCGCTGTTCGAGGCCTCGGGCGCTACCCCTCAGGTAAGAGGGATTCCTGCCTCCAGTGAAGCAAGACCCGGCACTCTGGGAGGCAGCAGCCCCACCAGAGGCCACAGGAGGTTAGTTTCACCGTGAAAGTCCAAGCCCAGACAGTCTTGGAGCTGAGCCACTGGCTTCCCCATTTAGCCTTCTCTCACACGGGCATTGAGTAGCTTTCCCATTGGCCATTCCGGGTATGTCTCTGATACCTGATAACTTTCCTCCCTGGGGAGTGTGGACTAGGGGTAAGGTACATCCGAGGAGACAGGGATAAAACAATCTAGCAGTATCTAAGCCAGAAAAATCACCACGGCCCCTCCTTTTGTTTTATTATTCTATATCTTTGTTGTAGGTGTGTCCAACCTGTGACCCTTAGCTGCCTTTACAACATAGCTATGACTGTAGCTCAAAACTTACTAAGACCATTGGGAGGGTTTTGGGGGGGGGGTTGATATTGACGTTTTTGTTTTTTACAGTTGGGGGGATGACTGGGTTAAGCATTTCTTAAAACATGAGAGTATGTAGATGACATCTGTTACAATTTTAAGAAGTTGAACACACCTGAAAATTGCCTCTGCGTGTGTCATACACAGATGTCCCTTGCCTTATGATGGGTGATATCACAAATAAGCCCGTCATAAGTCACAAATATTACCAAGTCAGAATTCTTTGAAAGCCTCTAACCTACATGACGTCCCAGCTCAGCCACACAGCACACAGTAGGGTCTTGATTGCTAGCCCTGCCTGATGATCACAGGGCCAGGTAGAAGTTGGTACCACTGCCCAGCATCACCACTGAGAATGGGACAATGCAGCTACTCAGGGAAGAGGCCAGGTCCAGAGCCCAAGTCGAGTTTCTACTGAGCGTGCATAGCTTCGGCAGTGTCTTAAGGAATCACAGCCTAAGCACCGTGAATCCGAGGCCATCTGGATCCAAGTGCTATGCCAGGCAAGGAAATGGCAGCAGCCTCACCAGGCTCACAAACGATGACCCATTGTGTCTCCATCCTAACCAAGTAATGTCCTGAGCCCCAGTCACTAGTAAGCCACAGAAGGTCTGGAGAAATGTAAACGTCTTTCCTTTTATCTATTAATGATGAGCCTTCACATTAAGACAAAAGAGTCAAGAACTTAAGCACAGTTGATGAATTTGCCCATTGGTTTTCTCTCCATACCGTCGCTGGCAAGGGTTTAAGCACCAAATCTGTGCAAACAAAGGCTCCATTTCATTGATAAGAACCTAGTAAACAGACATGGAAATTTCAGAACATTTCAATTTTGTAGTCGAAAACGGTAAAGAACCCGATGATCTCAAGTCAGCGCAAAGAGAAGTGTATCCCTGTAAGGTATTGTGCAGCTGTGTTTATCCAATATTAGCATAACTAAACAAATATAATGAGTGTGCCTGGGTCTCCTCACACGATCCTCCATTGTTGACCACCAGCATGTCAGGAGGCTTAGGAGTGAACTGCTATTTCCACGGCCAAGGAGGCAGCCGTGCCTCCTGTCCATCTCTTCAGCTCAGGGACACTCGAGTTCAAGCTCACTGGGCCCTGAGAGCAGGAATAGTAATAGCTCTGGGACCCCTGCCTTGAGAACGTTGTAGCAGAAGGCAATGAAGCAAGAGACTCTGGGAAATGGGGGTAATCGAGCAATTTACATCCATTAGTACCCCAGTCATGAGCCAAAGCTTCCAAGATGTGAGATTCTATCTGAAGATAATGGGCAGCCTTACTTATCCTTGGGCTGCCCAGGTACCTGACTTTTCCTGGAATCCCACCCATCCTTCAAGAGCGAGCAACCAAACTTGGTGTTTAAGAATTTTTTTTAAGTCATCATAACATTAAAAATATAAGCCAATAAAAATGTAGAAAAGAGCATTCAAGATGACCTTAAGCTCACATGATCCATACCCAGGGAGCTGTATCCGTCGTAACATCAGTGTGTGTCACGCTGAACATCTGTATAGGTCAGGAAGCCTGCTGGGCTAAGCCGGCTGGCAAAAGGTGAGTGAGTATGCTTCCCTTCAGAGGACTGAGGGAGAGTCCCAGGAGGGATGTAAAGGAAAATCAGCAATTACTGTCAGCATACCTGCTGGCCAAAGCCTGGAAAATATGTTGTTTTGCATAACACTTGCCTGGAAGCCATGCTCAGCGGTGCTAAGCATATCAAGAGGAAGCGCTGGACTCTCGACAGTGGTCTGAAGTCCATTGCCAAAGAGAGGGTCTGCGGGCAAAGGTACAAGCATCTCTCCTGCTGCTCTCCTGTATCCATTCCTGTATCCCCAGACCCAATACAGAACCCGTGCATACACACTGGACAGATATATGTTGAGTGCTGGTAGCATCATAAAGAAAAGGCATTACTTCACTCAATAAATGCATGCTAAACACCGAGCTCTGTGAATAAAGGGCAAGACCCCTGCAGTTACTGAACTCATTAGATAGTGAAAGATTGTACAGTCAACATAAAGATTTCGGTGAGTTATAGCTAACACATGTCAGCCTTGATTCTAGAGCATTCCTCTAGAGCTGCCTACTTCTAAACATGCCCCTCTGTCTATCCCCGATCATAGAGCCCACCCTCCTATTTGAAAGCAAAGCAACCTACCGGACAACTTAAGGAAAACATGCCTGCTGTCCACTGTGGTGGTTTAAATGAACGTGACACCCATAGGTGCACATCTTTACATGCTTAGCCCCCAGCTGATGAGCTGTTTGGGAAGGATTAGGGGGTGTGTCCTGGTGGAAGGAGGTGTGTCACTAGGGGGGGCTTTGAGGTTTCAAAAGCCCGTGTCAGGCCTAGTGTCTCTGTCTCTCTGCCTGCTGCCTGCCTACCTCCACGCTCTCCGCTGTGATGATAATGAACTAAGCCTCTGAGACTGTCAGCAAGTCCCTGGTGACATGCTTTCTTTTTTAAGAGCTGCCTTTCATGTCAATAGAACAGTAAACAGAAACATCACTGTCGCCAGAGACAGAACTTGGAATCTTTGCTGCTGTCACATTTCCTTGAGTCTTGAATTCAGTCAGGGTCCCACAAAAAGACCAATCAGACAGAACTGAGTCAGTAGTGGTGGGGGCCACAGTCACCCCAGGACAGAGGAGGTAGATACCCATGAACTGTGAGCTAGAGCCGTGGATGGAGGAGGGGTCTTGGGACAGGCATAGTCATGGAGAACCCAGCATTGGGCCTAAAGCAAGGAGGAGACAATGTGTTTCTCATTGGCCACCCACAACTGAGTTGTTGGGATCTTAAGGACCGAGTCCATGGGCGTCAGCCTCCCAGGGAAGAAGAGAGAAATGCATGCAGACTTGCCAGTGCATTCTTGATGGTCAACTCATCAGACCTCCATAGTTACTCTTGGTCATGGAAAGGATGAACCAGACAAGCTGTCTCATCAGACTGCAGTGGGCAGACCCCTCTGGAAGCAAAAGGAAGAGGGGTCTGTTTCAACAGAGCTAGCCGACTTGTTTCCTGTTGCCTGCATTCAGTAGGAGAGTAGCCTTGGCAGCTTCACTGACCTGCAGCCCTGAAAGGGAAGACACTCTCCACACCGAAGAATCCATGTCCCCCACCCCCCGACACCCCACCCCGCCAGCTGCAACTGGCCTTCAGACTCATCCTTGTCCAAATGCTGCTAACGCTCACAAAACCCTCACTGGGTCTCTTCATCTTCCGTTCACTCGAAGCATCTTTTCCTGTGAGTCACTTAGAGCCCCTCTCTGTGCTCTCCCCTTATAGCTGATTGCTTTGTTTCTGCGTTCCCCAGAAAAGGGGGAGCCCCTTTCTCCTGGGGCCCAGCCAGCTTTCGCTATCAGTTAGACAGCCTTCCCCAAAACTTAGTGCATTTTTTTTTGGTTAGTGCAAACTCAAAGCTTTTGATTAGCAGACTCAAAACCTGGCTTTAAATTGGCTTTAAAATATTGAGCAAGCGGGGCTGGAGAGATGGCTCAGAGGTTAAGAGCACTGACTGCTCTTCCAGAGGTCCTGAGTTCAATTCCCAGCAACCACATGGTGGCTCACAACCATCTGTAACGAGATCTGGTGCCCTCTTGTGACGTGTACATGGAGGCAAGGTGTTGTATTCATAATAAATAAATAAATCTTTTTAAAAAAATCCTGAGCAAGCTTTAAGTTGAAACAGCTTCTGCAGCAGCAGGTCAATCCCGCACAGCCAACTCGAGTCCAGCCCCGTCCGCTCTTGTCTGGTGCTTGTTTCCCAGATGCTCTGCTCCCCTCCACACACTTCCTCCGAACTAAACACTTGCTCTTACAAGCCATGAAAACTAATCCAGTCTCCCAGTGGCCGATGGTATTCTCACTGTCTAATGGCGAGACAAACTGTGACTTCCTAACATGGTCTAGAGCCACAAAGAAAATTGACCTCAGTGGAGCTGGTTAAACATAGTCATTTGGGAATGATACCTTCCCTCTCTTCCTGCCTCTCTCCCTCTCTCTCTCTCTCTCTCTCTCTCTCTCTCTCTCTCTCTCTCTCTCTCTCTCTCTCTCTCTCTCTCTCTGTCTGTCTCTCACTCTCTCTCTCTCCCACAATACCCAACAGGAATGTTTTCATCCCTGACTGCTGAACTCCTATTTAATCCTCAAAGCCCCAGTCTCATGTCCCCTCCTCCTCTACAATGCTACAATGCCCTCCGCTCAGCCCGGTGCCTCCTCTAAGCCTCTGGACAGCCGTGCACATCCATGCTGCACACCCGTCCCAGGGAAATGCTCTTCCCGCAACACCTTTACACCCAGGGGCCAGCACCTAGCAAATCCCCTCTAGAAATTTGCAGAGTGACTGCCAGCTCCCTCCGTCTCCATTCCTCCCTCGACCCCCGGATGTTGCAAAAGCACCAGAGAAGAACTGGCCGCGTCCTGGCTGGTTCTTGTCTCAGTCACCTTTTCAGTCGCTGGAGGAAGGTGGATCACCCTAGCGAACACAGCTCACTCCACCCGCCTTCTGAGTCACAGGAATAAAGCCAGCGTTTGTCCAGGAGGAAAAC